ATGTGAAGAAACCTCAAGAGATTGTTCTCCCAGGGAGTTTGAGTTTGTTGGGTGAGGCTTATGATCGATGCGGTGAAGTTTGCGCTGAATATGCTAAGACGTTTTATCTCGGTTAGGATCTGTTTCTCTCTCTTCTTTGGCTTTGGTGTAATGGAGAATTTGGTATGTTTGTTTGTTTTACTGAGTTATAAAGTGTTTGTTTTTTGTTGCAGGAACTTTGCTTATGACACCTGAAAGGCGAAAGGCGATTTGGGCTATCTACGGTGAGTTCTTGCACGAAACCGATGATTTCAAGAACTGTTTTGACATATATGCATCGTCATCATCGATTGATTTATCTATTGTTTCTATTGGTTAGTAGTTTTAGATGAATTTTCTTAGCAAGCAGTTCTAAGACGCTGAAATAGATTCCTTTGAAACTTACACTCATGTAGAAACATAAGACTTCTCTAGTTAGTTTGTGTATTAGCTTCCATGAAGCAGCAAGCATCCAAATCTGTGTCCTCTTAAGAAATTTGGATTAGTACTAATATGGGGTTTTAATGGGCTTTCTGGGCCCAACAGTCTTCAACACTAGAGATTTACTCATGCTATAACCCTTTGGGATACTATTTATCCAAATGATCTGAGGAATTCAAAACTGTTCATAAAACTTGTGTTCTTTTGTGTTTGATTGTTCTTGATTTGATGATTTTACTCTTATTTTTTTGAGCAGTTTGGTGTAGAAGAACTGATGAGCTAGTAGATGGGCCTAATGCTTCACATATAACTCCAATGGCGTTAGATAGATGGGAAGCAAGGCTAGAAGATCTGTTCCGTGGCCGTCCTTTCGATATGCTCGATGCAGCTCTCGCTGACACTGTTGCTAGATACCCTGTCGACATTCAGGTCAGCCTCTCTCTCATCTCTCTGCCTTATCCAACTTACCCATATCATTTCACCTGTTTAATAACATTCAGTCTATTGCAAAAGTTAAAACTTTGATCTAATGTTTTCTTTATTTTGCAGCCATTTAGAGACATGATCGAAGGAATGAGAATGGACTTGAGGAAATCGAGATACAAGAACTTCGATGATCTCTACCTTTACTGCTACTATGTCGCTGGAACCGTCGGTTTGATGAGCGTTCCAGTTATGGGGATCGATCCTAAGTCGAAAGCAACGACTGAGAGTGTTTACAACGCTGCCTTGGCCCTCGGTATTGCCAATCAGCTTACCAACATACTCAGAGACGTTGGCGAAGAGTGAGTCTTTTTCCACATATCTCTTTCTTGATTCACATGTCTCTCTCGTAGACCAGTTTATTGATTAACATATCTCAGCTTAACCGGTTTCTTGATTTCACGTGTGACTACTCTTAAACTGGTTTCTTGGTTCACATCTCTCTCTCTTAAACTGGTTTTGCTCTGTGTCAGTGCGAGAAGAGGAAGGGTTTATCTGCCACAGGACGAATTGGCTCAGGCTGGTCTCTCAGATGAAGACATATTCGCCGGCAAAGTCACTGATAAATGGAGAAACTTCATGAAAATGCAGCTGAAACGTGCTAGGATGTTCTTTGACGAAGCTGAGAAAGGCGTCACCGAGCTCGACGCCGCTAGCAGATGGCCGGTAAGTGTCTCTGAAAACACTCTTAACTCTACATTTTTTTGTTTTGAACTTTGTGTTTGGATCGATTTAACACCAAAAACTTGACTGCAACTCTTTCAGGTATGGGCATCGCTGCTATTGTACAGGAGAATACTGGACGAGATTGAAGCAAATGATTACAACAATTTCACAAAGAGAGCTTATGTTGGGAAAGCCAAGAAGATTGCAGCTTTGCCATTGGCTTATGCTAAATCAGTACTAAAGACTCCAAGTTCAAGATGAATGAGAAGCAAGAGGGAACAGAACCTAAGAGGGCTTTTGTGATTAAAGGGAAAAAAAAAACAACAACTTAGGAGCCGAATTTATTATGTTAACTAATATATATACATATATAAATGGGCGAAAGAAATTCTTATGATGGTTCACTTATTTTTCTCAATGTAAAAAGTAATTTTTATTTTTTTTATATCTCTTGGTTACTGACGAACTAGGAATATTTTGGTTGGACAGGCAGTTTTGTGATATATAAGATTGCAAAGTAGTATCTGTATTCGAAAAACAAATGATATAAGGTATCATTTTACGAAAAATAACATGGAAATGAACTAATATTTGGCTTTGACCCAATATATTTGAACGAGTTCACTTGATCATAGATTAAGCACAAGTACAGAAAAACCACAAAAGTATATTAATATTTTAAGCACCATTACGGAACATCAAAGACAATTCACATAATATTTGTTTAGTAATGCATGAAAAACAATCATGCTACTAAACACCATCATGCGACGAACTATTTCTTCAAAAGTAAATTGATTAAATTATTGAAACGTACAAACTTAAAGAAACAGAAAATATGAAGCTTATTTGGTTCCGGTTGTCATAAATTTGAAGCTAGTTCAAAAACCAGCCATCTTCATAAGCTTCTTCCAAGCCGGTCTAGCCGTAACCTCTTCCCACCACCGGTTCATATTCTTCCGAGCCTTAACCATCTCATTTATATCGGTATTCATCAAGTACCCCATCGCCGGCATGTGCGTCAAATCAGCCATGGTAAATTCTTCACCAGCCAGAAACCGGTTCGAAGAAAGCCGGTTATCGTATACGTCCAAGACCACCCCGAGCTGCACCTTGAGCTTCTCGACCAAACCGAAGTCACATTTTTCGCCCAACCTAGGCTTGATGACTAGGTTCATCACAATGGGATGGACCAAAACGTTGAAGTAATGGGTCTCGACGTCGGACCACTGGTCCACGATGGCTCGGTGCTCTAGAGACTTGCCCAAAAGGTTAGTGCCTTGGTCCGAGTACTTGGTCGCGTAGTATCTCGCAATGGCTCGTGATTCTTTGAGCAGACACGTGACAAATTTCAAAATACATTACATAAACGATAGAAAACATGTATAAAGAAATTGTTATGAGCATGATTACCAAAAAGCTTGAAATCTCCATCTTCTATGGCAGGGACTTGACCAAATGGCTACAAGAAAATAGTTATTAAACAAAAGGTTAGACACAGGCTTCCCTTGTTTTCTTACAGAAAAATATTAATTTTTTACCTGACGAAGAAGATGCTCTGGTTTTTTCTGCTCTAATGCATCAAGATCGATATGAACAATCTCAAATTCAATTCCTTTCTCCATAAAGCAAAGCAGGACTCTTTGCGGACAAGCTGCCGTTATCTGTCCGTATAGTTTCACAACCATTTTGATTTTATAATTTGTTTATTGATATGAGTAATTAAAAAGAGAACAGTTCTGACCAATTTCTGTATGCTCTTTTATATTCTAGACTGTGGATCTTATTTATAAATGAGAAGAAATGAGAGTAGATGTGTTGCCATTGTATTAGAGTGAAGATTTATTAGAAGAGCTGGTTGCTGTCCTGGTTGGTAGAGCATGTGGTGGTTGTTCCACTAACGGTGGCTATCACTCTACAAACTTTAATTTCAAATATCAATAACGGTGATTGAACTAACGGTGATCGTTTTTATATGTTCTGGTTTTTTATTTTGTTACTAAATTTTATGTGTTCACTTTCGTTCCGGATTTGGTCAGACTGGTGGGTAGGTTGAGTGATTTTATTTAACGATCCCTGCCATCTATCTACCAAGCAAATTTATCAATCCAAAATAAAATATTTCAATTGTGTTGAATCAACGAAACTTGGTTTTGATAACAATCCAAAATGTTACTACCCGCCATAAAGTTCAAAAAAGAAAAAAAAATGTTACCCCCAGGACGATTTTAATCAGTTGTCTAATTGTAAAAGAGACTTAACACTTCCCAACAACCACATCAGATTTACATTTATCAGAAACAAACAAAAGAATAGAAAAAAAACCCTTCACACTTCACAGTAATAATAATAATAATTGATGTTGTACTTTGAGTTCTCTCGAATTTTAACATTACATTAATCATCATTACCAAGCTTCATACCCTTAGTATCAAGATACAAGAATTCACAAGAAACAAACACAAATCGTTTCTTCCTTTAATCTAAATATCCACCTAAACCTAACGTGTTTCATAAGCAAGCCTTTGTTCTACTTTTCAAGTGAACTGTCTTCTCATGTAAGTATCTTCATGAACAAAGACAGGATCTTCTACTCTCTCCGGAATCTGAGGCTGCCCCATTGCTATCCCTCCTCCGTGCGCCGTCGTTGCGGGAGCAACATTTTGCTTACTCGAAGTCAGACACAAATAGTAGACAATCCCGAGGGCAACAGTAACAATTGAAAGCACAGAGCCGAACGAGAAAACGCCAGGTTTCACAATGTAGCAGAAGTAGGTACCGGCATACATTGTCTCCTCGCTGTGTTCATCGTTGAGTGCAGCTCCAGTTAGCAGCACGAGGAACGCTATCACAAAAGTGAACCTAGAGTGTAACACCAAAAAAAGAATCATCACCAAATGTAAGTAGGAAAGTTATTTCACAGAGAAAAGGAGGGAGAGATATGATTGAGATTTACCAGGAAACAACGAAGCAGATTAAGGAGACAGCCCAATTAGATCTAGAAGGAGCAGGGCCTTTTCTACAACAGAAACAACCGCTTGCGACGCTCGCGGCTATCTGAGCAATCAATAGAAAAACAGCTGAAAGGAAGCCGAGATTACAAGCTGGACTTCTTGAATATGTGCACCGTGTGAGTGAATCCGAAGTGGTAAACTTGATCTGAGATCTCTGTGTTGAGTCAAGAGACAAAAAAATGAGAACAAACCATTAGCAGGGAAGAAGTGATTGTACAAGAAAGCTTGCAAGAACTTTAACACTCCCAACTTTTTTTTGTTATTTTAATCTATAAACAGACATATTCAATCAAGTGGAATGTGATTTGAGATCAAGTATTGTAGACTTTCATTCATTTACATACTCTGCAAAGTGTTTATGGCTTATTGATTTTGTCAAATATCATTGGATCAGTACAGCCTATATTTAGCAAGGCTATTAACTTTGATTCATAAAATTAACATAGCATGATAACATTCAGAAACCATTTCTATATATAGAAATGAAATGAGTGAGAAACTTATAGGTGATACTTAATTCAATTGGAATCGGACATGTAACATTACATAGGAATACATATGCAATTACCAAAGTCTAACTACACGACACACTAAAGACAAATCAAAACACAGAGCTTAAATCTAAGCCTTTCTGCTTCTTTACCAAAACTGTTGAACTTTCCTAAGATCCTTCAATTTTGGAAAATCAACAAAGTTCTCTGAAAAAAAACACTTGTAATGACTAATGAGGACCATTTCTATTTCATTGACGAATAGAATATTCCCAAACTTCACGCATATTGAATCCGCCGACACAATTCACACAAATGAAAATTTATAATCAGCAGAAAACGAAAAAAAAAATAAATCAGAAGACAGCAGCCCTCACAATAGATAGCGATTTTAGTTCCTTTGGTGACATCCAACAAAATTGGAACTATCGAAAACAGACAACGCAAAAAAAATAAAAAAAAAATCACTTTTTCCATCGAAGATTATAATTACCAAAAATCATGAGAAAAAAATCACAAATCCCACTACAAAGCTAAACAATTAAACATAAATAGAAACCATAGAAGTATTAATTCAATACAATGAAGAAGAGCAGAAATAGAGAGAGAGACCTTGATTTTGGTAGCTTCAGCAGCGAAGGCAGTAGCAGCTGATAATAAACCCAGGAGAGATAACACACCACACATCACTACCTTTCTTCTCTCCATATCTCTTCCTCTCTCTCTAACCTAAACAACAAAAGATGCTCTCTCTTTTGTTGTTTCTTCTCTCTTTCTTCCAATTTTCTTGTTTGTTTTTTTGGGTTCTTCTTCGTTTGTAAGTAAACAAACGTCAAGTTGGTGACAAGCCCATTCGACACCGCACTCGCTCCTTTGTTTTGCTCTCATTACGCGTAAGGGTCACTTTCGGTATTTTACTTCGCCTTTCCTCCTGGGCCTAAAAATATTATGGGCTTAGGCCCAAAGTTTCATGGTTACAGCATAAAAACGGCGACATAAATGAATGAATAACTCCTAGATGAGCCATTAATCATTCGTTCCCATAATCATATCGAAACAGAAATAAATCAATAATCAAAGCATATAAGTAAAACATTCCCTACAGTCAATAAACGAATTGTAAAGTTTGTCTTATCAGTTTTGTTAAATAAATCAATTAGAGATTAGAGTATTCCATATTTATCAAGATTTTAATATCTCGTTTATAATCCAAATCAGTCTCCCATTTTTTCTAACACATAAATCGAGTGATTAGATATAATCTCTTACCATAAAACACACAAGAATCAAGCACAATATCTATCAATTAACCACCATTCTTTATACACAAATCCATCATACACACACATATATTCACGAGACTCTATATTTATTCTCCTTGACATATATTACCATCAATCCATCATCAAATATACGGGTCGTACAAAGATGAAGAGCTCTTTTTTGTTGTTCTTCGTCTTGTTATGTTTGTTGCAGATAAGCAGATTAGGTTTCGGATTAGAAGAAGAATTTGCTCATAAGACTAACAATGGATTCGTAAGTGTCACTAGTTTCGGAGCTATTGGCGATGGAAAGACCGATGATACCAAGGTTTATTTATATAGAATCATGACCTTAATTTGTATCAAATATGTATCACTTTCGCTTTGATGTATATATGTGCATATACTTTCATACTCTAATATATGTGTATGTGTGATACTTCAGGCTTTTCTTAAAACATGGGATGCTGTATGTAGAGGAGGAAGTAAAGGCAAGACAAAGCTTCTTGTGCCTCGAGGAAAAACCTTTATGATTAAGCCTCTTTCATTCGTCGGTCCATGCAAGTCTTCCTCTGTCTCCTTTTCGGTATATACTCTTTCTTAGAAATTCCAAAACCCTAATCCTTTAAACCCTAGCTACTCGAACCAATATGTAACTTGATGATTTATTTACATTAGATAAGAGGAAACCTTGTTCCGCCGGGTTACACTTGGTATGCGGGAAAATACCCAACATGGATTAGTTTCGACAGTGTCTACGGTCTAGTTGTCACCGGTGGTGGCACCATCGACGGTCGTGGTTCTGTCTGGTGGGGAAAAGTTCAATATCGTCCCACCGTAAGATCCTTTTATACGCACTCATGATAAATATACACTTTAATCAAACCATTAATCACTAATCTTAGAGCTGTTTATTATTACCTTTCTTTGTTAGGCAATGCACTTCAACAACTGTAACGGTCTCAGGATGTACAATCTCCAACACTTGAACAGTCCTCGGAACCACATAGGTCTAAGCTGTTCAGAGAACATCGATGTCTCGGGTCTAAGGCTCACTGCACCTTGGGATAGTCCCAACACGGATGGTATCGACATATCTAACTGTAAAGGAGTTCACATACGCGACTCAATAATTGCAACTGGCGATGACTGCATCGCCATTAATAGTGGTTCCTCTCAAATCAACATAACCGGCATTTTTTGTGGCCCCGGTCATGGCATCAGGTGATTTTTTCAACCTCACGATCCACAAACAGTCATCATGTTATGGTATGTATGTACTAAAATCATATATATATAATATGGATTTGGTATTATAGCATCGGAAGCCTCGGAGTAAACGGATATTTTGCAACCGTTGAAGATGTGAGAGTAAAGAACTGTACTTTGACCAACACTATGAACGGTGTCCGAATCAAGACATTCCAGGTTTGTCCAATTCTATCATTACTTATTGATCTTAAATTATCCACCATATTTACTAAATCTATATCGGTTATTTTATTTTTATAGGGCGGATCAGGATATGCTAGGAAAATATCATTCGAGGATATCAACATGGTAGCTTCAGGGAACCCTATTATCATCGAACAGAACTACCACAACTATGGCAAGGGAATACTAAACTTTGAAGAAGCATACAATAGATATCAAGGTTGTCATTTAAGTCGGTCGTCGTTTGTAGAGACAAAGAGTCAGTCCGGTAACGGCAAAGGCGTGAAAGTAAGCGATGTGCGTTACTCTAGAATCCGCGGTTCGTCTGCGAGCGATGAGGCCATCACATTGAACTGCGATGAGAACTTGGGATGTGCGGATATTGTGATGGACCATGTTGATATGGTTTCAGCTACATCAGGTCACAAGGTGTTCGCTTCCTGCAAGAATGTTCATGGGAATTTCTTTGATTCACTTCTTAGTTGTTTCAAGAAGTATTAGGGATGATGATTGATTGTTGTTATTTACTGCTTTCTCACGGTGATGGTAAAAAAAAAAAATCCATCCCTTAGAAAAAAAAAACAAAATGGATTTTGCTCTCATTTTTTTAAGAAGAGAAGTGTTTAATCCGAATTTATAGATTACAGTCAAGTGCTCTTTGTATCAGCTGAAAAACAAATGCTTGGGTAATTTATACAGATATCTGCAAACAGATTCGGTCACACATCAGATGCATTATATCAACCAAGAATAGGAGCAAAAATCCAAATGGGTAACAAAAACACTGGATTGAAGAAAGATATAAGAACATATAGGCATATATTGAAGTAGCATAAGATCCTTTTAATCTGCAGAACACAAAGAGCAGAGAGGGAAGAAGCAAACACTGAAGAAAAAAAAGCAGAGAGAAACACCAAAAGCCTAACAACATAAGAAAGAGACTCTTTTCAATTTCAACGAACTCAAAGAGCTCAACACAGCAAACACTGAAGAAGAAGGACTCGAGACGGCGAAGCGAGGCTTAATCCTTGTTCTTGAGCCTCTGGACACGCTGGTTAAGGTGCTCGATCCTGACGACCAGGTTGGTGACGGAGTAGAGAATCCAGTAGAAAACGAGAGCAGACGCGATGAGGAGCGCGTTGCGCTGGGATTTCATGATGGACTTCTGGTGACGGAGGTGCTCGGAAGGAGTACATGAATCGCCGTCGCAGGAAGGTCGGGTCTCGTACTTCCAGTAGATATCCATCAGCAGGAAGAGACAGAAGGGGATGATCGAGAGAAACGGTTTCAGGAGATTACGAGTGACGGAGACCAGTCCGTTGCGGAGAGCGTCGAGTCCCGGCATCGTCAAGAGGATGACCATAATCGCTTCAGCCGCCGCCGCGTAGCCCAACACAACCCATTCGAGAGCCATTGTGAGATTTCGATCTGGATCGGAGAATCGTGAAGAAGAGTTAGATCTGAGTCGGTACCGGTGCCTCCGATTCTGGGAGAAGAATTTTGATTTCGATTGATTTTTTTCTTCGTGAGCAAGTTTTTAAGTCTTTGCTTTGTGAGTTGGTACAAAAATAAAGGTGGAGGATGAAAGGAGAGAGAAGCACGTGGCACTTGTGTGGTTTACGCGTATCGCACGTGGAATTACAGCCCAATAATAAATGAAATTTATGTCAAAATAAATATCAAGGAAAACTCCATCAAAATCTCAAATTAATCTCATGACCAAAAACGTAACAACAACACTCAAGTTGAAGTAAATTTGTATCATCACCATTACATTCTCAGTTTACAAATTACAAAAGCTTACTTAAGGAGTTGTTTGAATGAGATTATAAAAGGAGTGTGTGGAAGATTGTTGTTATTGAAGACCATATACAAGCAAAGCACCAACAGCGCCAAGACCGGCCAATAAGCCAACAATGACACCGATCGGAGGCAATCCTCCTCCTATGGCTTTCCCTGTGTTCACGTCGTACCTCGCAAACCTCTTCTTCGGTGCTATACATTGAGGACATACGTATGTATCCGGCTGCATAAACCCCCAGTAAAAAACTTGGTTATAAAATCTGAAATCTAGAGATGGTTGGGACAAAAGTGAAGGACCGAGACTGACCTGTTCATCAAAAGGTTTAGGTAAAGTGTAAATGAATCCACAATCAAGACAAATGTGAGTAGCTCTTGTCTGCGAAAGAAAATGATGATGTTAATTAAGCTTTGTAAAAATGGTTATATGATACAACATTCCAATCTTAAGAAAAGAGCAGATTAAAATGCTAACCTTCTGAGTCTCGGTTAACTTCCTCCCGAACCGGGGAGGAGCCGGGCGCTTATTTAGTTTCTTGACATCAACATCTGCACCTCTGTGTTTATCCAAAGATCATAAGTTTCATCAGAAACCAATCAAGAACCGCAAAAGATATATTTACATAGTTGCCATGACTGTGAAGGTAAGTGAGCCCAATGCTAACTAATAAACCTCAGGTACTAATTTGTAAAGCATGTGAAGCTTAACGTGATAATATAGGAAGGGAACTAAACCTACATTTGGCGCATCAACAAGACTTATCAACCATACCATTAGACCATGCTATTTTTTGATAAAGCCCTATAGGATCATTTCAGTCAAAATCTAGCTTCTTCAAAGAGCAGAGAGGCCACATTTCTAGTAATATCACCACCTAAAGCAAATCAAGAGAGGCAAACATACACAGAATCACCTGCTAACAACAAAGTAGACAGAATCAGGTTTAGCCTGAATTGCGGTTTTAGTAAAGCCTAGCTTATCTGCAGGCCAAAGCTCATCTCCAAAGAAGCTGCTTGTGTACACAACTTGATCCCCAGTTTTAAGCCCTGCTTTTGCTGCGTTCCCACCTCCTTCAATACCCTGAACAACAAAACAAAACCCTCTCAATTTTTATTTATCAAACAACTTAGATCTACAAGAATGCCACTCTCCACTGGAGAGGTAGTGAAAAAACTCACAGTGATGACAACTCCACCGCCTTGCTTTTGTCCTAGAGTCAGACCAAGAGGCTTGTCTACTTCAACCTCTATTGTCTTGGAAGCTGCTGTTCTCGCTTTGATTTCGAATCTTCTCGACCCATTTAACCCTCCGATCTTTCTCTCGGAGACAGCGAAGATCTCTGATACACTCCTCTTCGAGTCTTCCAACGAAACTCCCTGAAACCCAGTTTTCTAAACACAGCACACACACACACACACACACACACACACACACACACACACACACACACAAAATCGCACTTTCAGATGAAGCCAAGTCCAAATCACATCGAAGTAGAAGAAAACGATAAACTAAACTCGACCCTCCACAAGAAACAAACTTATATAACTGAGAATTTCAGATTCGTATTTAAATTTACTGAACAGAAGAGAGAGAGAGACCTGGGAAAAGAGAGAAGAAGAGGAATGAAGTTTGGGCGATGTGTTTGAAGTTGAAGCGGTTTTGGTGAAGAAGGAAGAGACAGTGGCTCCTGAAATCGCACCAGACGTTGCCATCTCAAACGAAAAAGCTTGTTTGATTCTTAATTCGTGAAGATTTGAAACTTTCGATGTTATTGCATGCGTTTTGTGAGGAAGCCAGAGAAGTTTTTTTTTTGTTCTGTGTGTGTGTGTGGAGATGTCAAGTGTCAAAGCAGATAACCTTTTCGTGGTAATCGCACCATTTTCGTGTGTTATGCACGGTCCACTCTCAAGTGTGACCACAACTTTCTCATCATCCTCAAAAAAATTCACAATCCTTCAAATTTCTGATTTAATTATGGTTAAGAGTCAAAATTCAGATTTCTGAATTAGTTAAGGATGATTTATGATTATTGGCCTAGTGATTGTGAAAAGCCCACTAGAGAGGTCCATGCTGTTTAAAACTTTAAATCCACGTTCGTCGAGCTAAACGGCGTCAGGTTGAACCGTAAACTAACGGTGACGTATAATAGTGGGGAATTTTGAAGAAAGTAACGGAGGAGATCACACGAAGCGTACGGTGTGCTCTTATGTTTCCTACCTTCCACACTTGTTTTTGTATATTATAAACACACACACACACACACAAGTCTCAGCTACTGTATACACCATTAATACTCATCCAAACACAACTCTCTCTCTCTCTCTCTCTCTGGTACAGAAACAGAGTCAATGGCAGCCAAATCGAAGAACGTTCAGCTGATCGCTAGTTTCGGAAAGCACATAGTCAACGGCTTTCGTTCACGCGCCGTCGCATCGGATCTCTTCCCTTCTCGGTATATCTTCCTCTCTCTCTCCATTTTCCTTCTTTTGATTATCTAGTTAAGAAAACATTCATAAAAGTAAAACGAAAAGAACTTTTCTTTTGTGAACAAATACACGAAAAGAACTTCATATGATTCCTTTTTATTTATCAGACAGAGTCCCCTCTTTTTTGTTTAAATTCCTACAAAAAAAGAGTTATTTTCACGGAAAGAATAAAAAATAAAGCAATTTGGTTTGGTGGATAAATCCAGATTACAAAGTTGATATTAAATTGAAAGAGACAAACTGGTGGGTTTTTAGAAATTTTATATCCAACATTTTCAGGCTATATAGTTCCAAAAATATATACATTAAAATGTTTTATTTACCAAATATTTATTTGTAAGACCCCAAAGAAAGATGTATAATTCATTCTTTTTAGTTGTACCGAGATGTATTTCGTAGATAGAAGCACAGTCACTGTAGACGGATATGGCATATCCAATTGGATAAAAGTCGTAAAACCAAAAGGTCAAAACCAATCTCCCAGTCACGATATAACACGTGTCCTTGATCAAAACTATTCCCTTAATCTTGGAGAGTTTCCACACCTTTTCTTTTTGTGTTGCTTTAGTAAACATAAAAAACTGGATCTGTATCTTGAATTGAGTAGAACTTGAATCTGTATCTAGTTTCTACGACTTCATAGTTTTCTCTATAAAGTAGATCATGCAAAAGAGTGGATCTGATCTACAAATTAAATACGCATGAACCAAGACCGTGGACCATGCCACTTCTTTAGATTAATGGTATTTCACTCACCCATCTTTTAGCTAATAGAGAAAAAACGATTTCTTTGGCACTTTTCGTGGCACTAAATAAAGTCGTCTAATCTTCTTGGTGGAAGGGACCATGTTTTTTTTTTCGGAAAAGGGAACGATAGAAAGAATCATATCATACGGAGGATTGCAACATGTCTACTTTTTCATGGACATAGTTGATTAGCATGAATATAAATACACAATGATTCATTATGTTGGTAGCTGGACTTGTACTGATGCTGGTTTTGTTGATAAATTTAAAATATAGATTTTTGTATATATCATGCCATTCACCTTGACGTACACATATGACCGATATTATTTATCAGAAAATTGTATATACATAATTGCCCGACAGCATGTAAGAAAATTTTAGTGGGTAGAAAACTATAAATCACAGTAGCCATCTATTTCCGATACCAATTTCTTTAAATTTATTTATTTATTTATTTGGGAATTGAAGATACAAAACCGGGTTGGTCAGTGATAAAAGATGTAGTTGTCTGGTGAGGAATTTAATCTTTTTTCATATAGTCAATGTCACACCTAACGAACTCACTTTCAGAATTTAATCTCATATACGGAAGAAACCAATATTATCGCTAAAAACAAATGTTTATTTCTCTTGTGGTATTGTTGAACAGGAATGGTCACACATCGGCGTATGATAAGAACGTAGAGGAAGAATTGCAATCGAGTAAAGTGCCTGATGAAATGATTAAGCCTGACTCTGACAAATATTGGTCTCCGCATCCTCAAACCGGTGTCTTTGGACCTTCATCCTCCTCCTCCTCAACCGAAGCAACCGACGAGAATCTTGGTAGCCAGGAGGACTCAGTGATGGAGGAGAAAGCATGGTTCCGTCCAACAAGTCTCGAGGACATGGACAAGACTAACCATTCGTAACAAACAAGCTCTTCCTTTATATCATACAAAAAAAAAAAAAAAAGCTCTTCCTTTATAATGTGTGTTTTATTCCAAATGGTATAATAAAGTTTGAACAAAAACTATTATGTTATGTTTCAAAACAAACGAAAATGTCTTATTCGTATGAATGTAACCTTTGGTTTTAGAATATTGGATGATCTTCTTCCACTAGTAGCTAATGAACAACCGCTGTTGATTAGAGGCTTTGCTTGAGTATAGAATCTACGCTTTATATGGGCTTTACAACTTCTATGGCCCATGATATACTTTCATTTATTTTCCCCTCAATTATGTTTTTTTGTTTTGTTCGATTATATCAAAATGTTACAGAATGATTTGAAGAAAACAAATTCCTAAAATGCTCTGTAATGCTGTAATTTTCTTACTCGGTGTCCTTTTACGGAATATTTCTTCCTTTTTTGGCAGATACAGTACAAGTGACGACAAAGGAAGAGACTGTAAGAAAAATGACAATTAATTAAATAATTTTTCCTGAGAAAATTCAAATTTCAAACCTACGCTCCAACGTTCCCTTCCAATCTGAGAGATTCATTCATTGGCTTCTCTTGGGAAAGAGCTAGTATATATAAACCATATCCTCACGCCTTCCCTCTCATAGCAAAAAACATCTTGTTTTCTCTGCCAACTTCTCTCTCCACCAAACGAATTTCTCTTTCATTTCTACTTCGCGAAAATGGATTTCCACAGCCTTCTGAGAAGAGATCTTCAATTTCTATGCAAGAAGAACAAAATCCCAGCCAATATGACCAACGTTGCCATGGCCGATGCTCTCAAAGCTCTTGAGATTGTAAGTTTTCTCCCTCTATTCGCTCCATTTCGTTTGGAATCCGAACAGTTTTCGTTGCTCGCATCTTCAAACGAATATCGATACTGAATATGTCTTGGATCTGTAGCTGAACTTTACTCTTGAGTTGATTGAAATCGTTCGTGATCAATTTGTTAAGTCCCCGGAAGTTTTGGTTCACTAGTGACGAAGATCTGCGAAATCGATTGAGCGAGGAATCATTTTGCTTATTTCTAGATCTAAAATGTTTATCGTTCTGGTCGATTACTGCTTGCCCCATTTAATCGAGATTGTTCATCATCGATTGATTAATACTCGGATTGAGATTTGTCAAATCAAGTAAGCGCTAGAAATTGTATTGCTACTTAGATTTTTGGATTTCAAAATTCGTTCCACGTCTGTTGATGCTTCGTCTTAGTCTATGCAAATGGTGGATCTGTGGAATCACGTTTGAGTTGTCGTATATGTTTGATCATAAGTTATATTGGTCATTGCTTGTGGTTTCCTTTGAAGCACAGAGAATCCGTAATTGACTCCTAGATTCTGAATTTCTTGTGCTCAATTTGTTTTTGCAGGATTAGTTTGCACCACTAATGCTTTGTTTATTTTTCGGTTGAATTAACAGGTCGAAGGTCTTGATGAATACATGAATCAATCCGACGCCAATGGTCCTCACTCTCCAGCCACTGTAGCGAAGCAGCCACCAAATACTGCAACCAGAACAACTCGAAGGAAGACGGCAGTAAAAGCTGAACCGCAGTCATCATCACAGTTGGTGAACAAGTCTCTCGCTGGAGAAATGGAGCAGGAACCGAAGACTAGCAGTGTCAAGTTTGAAGCCAGTGTGGCCAAAACTCCTGCAGCACGAAGCACAAGGAAAGCTTCAGCAGCGACTTCTTGTAGCAGCAAAGTTCAGGAGAGTAAGAAGGGTGAGTTGGTCCAGTCGGTGTACAGCACCAGGAGATCAACAAGGCTGTTGGAAAAATGTATGGCTGATTTGAGTTTGAAGACTAAAGAAACTTTGAATGATAAACCTGCGGAGAACGAAGAAGCAGAAGAAAAAGTATCTGCAGAGGAGAAGAATTCAGCTGGTTAGTTGCAATGCCTTTTCCTTCTCTTTCAATGCTTAATCATATAAATCGGTTGGTTTACGATATGTTTTTTTTTGGTAATATGCAGGTTCAGAGGAGAGAATTGAGGAGGCTGAAGTTATCCCAGGTAGAGATTTAAGTGCTTCCATGGAGAAAGAATGGGAGATCTTGAAGAATGACAGTGACCAGATCGTTGAAGATCTTCAGCTTTCTGTTGGTCTTGGTGATATTGCTGTTTCTGATGCAAACACTGAGGCAAACATGGTGACGACGAATGAAGTTGTGGGTGATGAAAAAGGTAATGCAAGCATTCAGATACCGACAATGTAGTAGTATGATATTTTTCTGGTTTTGCATTTCTAAATTATGTGGCTTTCTTTTTGCAGAATCCGAGAGTAGCTTAGTCCAAGTAGACAAACAAGAAGAAACATTGCAGGCTATGTGTGAGGAGGAAAGTTTGAAGAAGAATGACAATGATCAAGAGGTTGGAGATCTTGAGATATCTGCTGATCTTGGTGACATTCCTGTCATGGAATATGCAAACACTGAGACTAACGATGACAATAAAGGTATGTTACAACTACAAAGTATAGTAATAACAAGCCCTGAACATCTTTCTTGTTTACGTATCTAAAGTACAAATGTCCTTCCTTCTCAGAGATCAAGAGCGTTCTAGCTTTCGACAGTTTAGTACAAGTGGACCAAGAAGCAATTCAGGAGAATGATTCCGAGCCTGAGAAAATCAACAATTTCGATGAAGAAACAATGGTGGACCAAACCAATGGTGATGCTGGTGATTCAGAAACTGAGCCGGAAGAAGTTGACTCAGACGGCACTATCTCTGAAGCTGATTCGAACCAAGCCGTGCAGGGATCTGATATTGCCGACGAAGAGATGATTCTTTCTGATTCTGAAGGTTCTGCTGCTGCCCCAAATTCTCCACCTCTTCTTCTTGAAGAGGCTACAGTCAACACAGCTCCATCGTCTCCAATTGCAGCAGAATCAATCTCAGTTCAGTTTCCAAGACCAAGCAAACCAACAACAACAGCAACTCCAGCAAAGAACTCGGCTATGAAGCTGGTCAATGTCGATAACAATAACAAGGAGAACGACATGGAGATGATGAGTGTTGTTAACAATAATGATAACGGAGAGAGCAAAGGAGAGGCTAATAAGAAGAAGAAGAAGGTGCAGTTTGATGAAGACTACTTGAAAGATGTGAGCATGAGGCAACTTATAAAGATGGTGAAGGAATTTACTATTAAGGGCAGTAACAACAGAACTGCACTGCAGATGTTACCTGGTAATAATCAGATTGCAGAATAGAGTGAGAGTGGTGATTCAAAAATGCTTTTTCTCATTTTTCTTGTTGTTGTTGATGTTGAGACGGTAAAAACAATTTGTGAATGGTATACTTTTGGTTTGAATAAAATCCCAGTTTAAGAATTTTTTTGGAAAAGATGTCTATCACTGTCTCATCCTAATATTTTTCTCTTACCGTCTACTATTGGTCTATTGCCAAGTGGAAATTTGTGCTGACTTTATAGGGGATCATTTTCTATGTTTTTGATTTCCCTTATGGCCTAATAAGAAAACGGCGTCGTCTCTTGTTTACCCTGATACATATGATTCCAGAAACCGAAATGGACAAAATAAAGTGTTTACATTACACAATTACATAAAGACGTTCTAGGGTGAATTTGATCGAGGTGTTGAAGGGTTTCTTCGTTTCTCCAAAGATGGCTGCCAAACCAAGCAATGAATTGATGGCTACTGGAGAGGATGCTGCCTTAACGACGGCCATGAAAGAGCTAACGCTCGAGGAGGGAAACGGCGGAAACAGCGATAGCAGCAGCGACGACAGCATCGTCAGCGTCGGCGACATGGGAAGCGACAGCGAGTGGCTTGCGTGTAAATACTTCCCGGAAAAGGAGCCAGAGTGGGATGTCGATAGCTTTGATGGACAAGAACTTAAAATCCATCCTCTGGTTCGTAAGACTTACCCAACCCAGGAACTTTATGACCAATACTACGACAAGAGGCTCAAGGCTTTCGAGAGTAAGGTGGTTCTTTCACTGCAAAAATGATGGACGTGGGCATAAAAATTATTTGGCATACTGATATCAGTTTCTCTTGTCACTGGAAAATCCTTTTGCTTTTGTTAGAATATATGGACTAATCAGCGGTCTCTTGATATCTTTTAGTTTCATTAGTCTTTTCCTGCAACAGTTGATTGAAGAGTGTATTATTCCTGATTGTTTTAACTCTTTTGCGTTTGTTGTTTACTTGGTCAGTAAAAAAAACTTATATTTTGGTTGGTTTAGGGTTTTCTTCCAGATCCTTCGAGAGCAATCTACGAAGTTTACCTGGAGGGACGAATGAGGAATCACAAGACAGCTCGGGATTTCATGGCAGATCTTGCGAATGTGTGCGTTAAGAAATTTAACGAGACTAAGGTTAGCGATCAAGTTGATATGTTTAGGTTTTAGAAGAAGATATTGATATTTAATTTCGTTTTGGATCATTTTCGACAGGGGAAGACTTTAGAACTGGTAAATGTGTTGAGAGCTACTGAAACTGGAGGATCTAAATGGAAGTTGTACATCACGTTTATGGCTCGAGAGTACCATGAGGGGCCTCTTGTTGAGTACCAAGCCAAGGTAATCAAATTCTTAGGAGATCTCCAACCTCCTTTCCCGATTCTCTGTAGACCAAGTCCCAAACCGGGTTCACAAAACTAAGCTGCTATATATAAAACATGTAAGGCTGATAATGCATAGCTATTTAGTTCAAAACACGAAGATGGATTCGATTTCTTTTTGATGTTTTTGCTTTTGTGGATTTGAGTTCTTTATGAACCTCCGAGTGGAAATTAACCAATTAATTATTAAATATCTGGAAGCAGTATAGTGTATGAAAATGTGATTACCTAGGAAATGATCATGACAAATCTTGCTAACTTTTGTGTTAAGAAATTAAACGAGGAGAATGTTAGTGAATGAACACTGAACTGATAAAGTGTTCTCTGAAAAGATGGATATAAACTTCGTACTGAATTCACTGCACTGTTAACTGGAGGAGATACACGGGAACTCCTAATAGATTCCTTGTACAACAAGTATCAAAGCCAAACTGGTAACATTTGCTGGGGATATCAAACCTCCCTTTCCCATCTTCTACAGAAAACTCTCAATCTAGACCCATGTTGATGAGGTGTATATATTATCACATATTTTCTTAAGTAACTTTGCAAATTGGAATTTGAGTAATATAATACGATGCGTAATGGTCCAGTTTCATTACATCTCATGGCCCATGCATTGTCGTCTGCCTTTTTTTGTTACTTTTATAATTGACAACTCGAAACTTGTGCTGAAGTTGATAAATATTTACGGTAATTCCATTATGGTTTTTTTACTTACCAACTTCTTGTCACATAGTAGAGTTTGAATATAGAATCCACAAATCGTGTTCTAGGGTTTCTCCGGCGATGACTCCTACACCGATCAACGAATTAACAGCGAAACTAGCTTCGACGACGTATCCAATGGCAGCTGAGGAGGTTGTCTCTTCCCCAAAGGTCGAGGAAGTGGACGACAGATTCAGCGATAGCAGCAGCGACCTCGAGTTATGCTGCGACGAGGAGTGGCTCGCGTATAAAAGGTTGCCGGAAAAAGAACCAGAGTGGGATGTCGATAGCTTTGATGGTCGCGAATTTAGAGACTACCCCAATGTTCGTAGACTTTTCCCCACCCAGCAACTTTATGACGATTATCTTGACGAAAGGCTCAAGGCTTTCGCGAGTAAGGTAATTGTTTACCTGTTAACTTACAACCTCTATCAATTTATCTTGTCTACTTGAAAAAGCAATTGTTTATTTGGCTGTTTTAGGGTTTTCTTCCAGATCCTCTGAGCGATATTTTCGAAATTTATCTTGACGGACCGAAGAAAGGCTACAACACCTGTCGGGACTTCATAGCAGAGCTTACGAATGTGTGTGTTAAGAAATTCAACGAGACTAAGGTTAGCGATGGAGTTGGATATGACTTATGAGTTTGATTTACGTTTTAGAAGAAGATGGATATGAATTTTCGTTTTTGGACAGGTAAAGACTTTGGAATTGGTAAATGTCTTGAGAGCTACACATAGTGGAATAGCTAAATGGAAGGTGTACGTCACGTTTATGGCTCGAGAGTATCACGAGGGGCCTCTTGTTGAGTATCAAGCCAAGGTGATCTACTGCTTTGGAAACGACGACCAACCTCCTTTCCCAATTCTCTGCAGGCCAAGTCCCAAACCGGATTCACAAAATTAAGATTTAGTTTATATACCATGTTCAAGTTACATAGTGCGACATTCGAACATGTTGTGTTGTATTGGAATATTATACATGTGATTTTAACTAGTCAGAAAAAAAAGTCTATAATGGCTACTAGATTTGGTTTGTTTTGTTATTTAATGAGTAAATAATTACCATTTTCCAAAAGCTAATAAATCAACGATTCCTTCGATTTGAAGCTTGATGACGTCAAAACCTGTCGTTTTGGATGTACTTGTGAAGGGTATAAGTACGAGACCAGAAATTAGGGCTCGTACAGATTTAGAGGAACGGAAGCATTTTGACTCACGAGAGTGGTCTTGTTTTTCACGTAACGAACGATTACTCTCTCTCACGATCTATTCATGTATGGTCTACTCTGATTCGAGTATGGATTCCTTGGCGGCGGATGAGGAAGAAGAGGGACACAATGTTAGACATATGTACGTGTCTCGACTGGATTCGGAACCAGAGTGGGATGTGGACAGCTACGACGGTCGCGAGTACGAATCAGATCCTGAGGTTCGCGAGTTGTTCTCTGACGACGAAGAGTATCAGGAATACAGTCGTAGCAAGCGCGAGGCTTTCGAGAGTAAGGTAAATTGTTTTTTCTCTCTTTTTATCAATTTCTCACAGCAGTTATGGCTTTTCGTAATGCTTGCTTAGTTAAAAGAAGATGCCAATTTCTTATCCTTTTTGTTTTTCAGAAAACGCTGTCAAATAACCTTCACTTCCGTTGATTCGCAAAAATAGTCTAAAATTTGTATTGTATTCGCCTAAAAGCTGATCCATTTCTATCTTGATGTTTTGTCATGTGTGTAATTTAGGGTTTTGTTTGTGATCCTCTGAGCAGAAACTACCCAATTAAAGATGAACATATGGAAATACTGGTGGTGTCTGAGAATGTGACTGTCCGGCAATTGATGACAGATCTTGCTAACTTGTGTGTTAAGAAATTCAACGAGGAGAAGGTTAGTGAACTGGATAAAGTAGTTTCGTTTACCAATCCAAGATGGATATATAAGTACTTTATCAAAAAAAAAAGAAGATGGATATATAAGTTTCATTCCTTTTTCATAATGATGTATAGGGGAAGACAGTGGAATTGGTAGAGATCGTAAGAGTGATTGTAACCGGAGGAGGTACAAGGAAAGCTTATATAACGTTTATGGCCCGGGAGTCTCTTAACGGACCTCTCGTAGAGTACCAAGCCAAAGTGGTGACATATGCTGGGAACTGGAAACCTCCCTTTCCCATCTTTTGCAGACCAACTCCTAAACCCTCTATCTAGACACCCACATTCAGCTATATTAATTATCAGACTTTGATCTCGTGGGATTATCTTCTGCTTCTGTTTTGGATTTCCAAATTTTCTACCTTAGATTCAAATTGTGGGTACTGTTGACGCCAAGCTACCAAATGCTACACAGGTTAGTGTCAGATCCTTAGATGGAATTAAGTATGTTGACCTATTAAATGTCAATTATTTGTGACCATCATATATGGATTAGTTATGATCTATCAAGACCATTAGGAATCTTGTTTTTCTCAATTTTATTATTTACTTTCACTTATATACTAGGGTTTGACCCGTGCCCAGCACGGGGTGATAGTTTCTGAATTTGTATTTTTATTAAAAATGTTTATTTAAATATTTCGACATTTTATGCGAGAGATTTTTAACCTTTGTTATTCGTTTATAGTATGAAAATTAGGCATTTTAATCCATTTAAAAAAAGAAATAAATTAAAGCATTGATCGTAACCACAGATTAAATATGATAGATTTAACCGAGATACATAAAACTCAAATAACTATAATATAATAAGATAGTTTAAAGAAAAAAAATTGAAAATAAAACATTATTCTTTAGAAAAATTATACATCATGTATTTCATAAGATAAAAAGTTTTAGCTGTGTGGACACGGATTAGAACTAATTTTTTTCTTTCTTTCAAAACTAAAACATGCTTTATTATAATTTCAAAACAATCCAACCAATCAGAAAATAATATGCAGAATCCAAATTGTCAAAACAGCAAAAATATAATTAATTTTGTATAGAAAGTTGAAACAGATAGAGTAATATTCAAAAGTTTAATCAAAATAAAATATTTATAAAAAGAACTTTTTTTATTCGATTTATTATAGATTTTAATTAAAAAACCATATTAAATGAAAAAAAAATTACTTTGGATACCTACTAAATGAGGTTATATACGAAACAATTTATATTATTTTGTTTTTAAAAATTCAAATCATAACATGTACAGAAAAAGTTTTAGATTTTTTTGATAGATTTTTTATATTGTGATTCAAATTATTTTATTAAATAAATTTAAACAAAGATGATAGAAGATGTATACTGATTTTAAAAGAAATTATTATGATGGAATTAAATTGAATCTCATATCTTCCTTATTTACTAATTTTCGTAGTTGCCAATTAAGGAAAGAGAATGATAAATTTAATTTCATTATTTGGTTGTAAGCATAATATGCAATGGCATATATTGTAATTTGTCTAGTAAAGCTTGTCTTAATTAGAAATTGCTCTAAGAGTGAACCTAGTGATGACACCTAAGCAATGACATTCTTGTTAATAACACATTAGACAAAGGTTATTTAGTTAGTGTTTTCTCTTTTAATATATTAGGGATATACCAGCAGTTTCAGTTATTTGTATACGTTTTTCGCTTCCGGCTTTTGACTTAATTGTATTCAACAGAGATCCTTGCATAGACGAGAACCTGGAATTAATTTAGCTTTTTGTGTGGTTTCTGAAACAGGATCAGCTTGGAACTGTTTGTATTATTGCGATTTCAGGTATACTTTTCAGCTATACCAATCTAGATATATATCCCTCAATCTAGACCCACTTTCAGGTATACTTTTCAGCCTTCTTGAATATTTGTTTATTTAGCTACGTTCACGGGTTATTGTCTGAATTATTTCTCTTGATTTTACTCTTTTTCCTAGACTGGAGATTGGGATGTCTTGAAGACAAGTTGGCGAATTGGAGTGTTAGTTTTAATCTATATGGCAGTGTTTTGAGAAATCAAGTGTGTGAACTATGTGGCAGTGTTTGGTAGAATCAAACTAGCGAATTGAAGTTGTATGTTGTACTTTCTTTTTATGATTGGTGTGTAAAGCATTTTGCAGTTTATATATTTTTTTAATTAGTAAAATTGACAGTTGAAACTATAACGAAATAAAATACAAAGAGGGAGTTTTTCACATCTAAAATAATTCTTCGTAAAACCAAAATTTATAACAAAAATCTCAGTAAATAACTCTATATAAGCAAAATGTTAGAGTAAATGGAAGATGGAAGAAATTGGGACATGAATCCAAAAGAGATAACTAATGTCAACCTAGACAATAATCTGTTTTCTCGTAGTATTGATTTTTATAAACATTATATTACAATTCATAGTTCTTATGTAATAGATTGCCAATATGTTTCCTTGAGCTTATGATACAGCCAAAGCCAAATGCAATATACAGTACGTTGGTGGTAAGATGGAATCAATGAACAAGTATAAAAAGTTGCATAGCCGTGTTGGACGTTATGGCTGGGCCGTAGCCCAAATACTCTTAAATTTCACTCTGTTTGGATCGGGTTAGAGTCGGGTCGGGTCACGTAATGAGCAAAATTGAAAATTCCTTCTTTCTAGAGATTCAGAGTTTTAGGTTTATTCATCCAAATTCAGTAGATTGCTCGTCCAGTTCTTCACTTCCAATGGAGAATCCATCAACGGATCATCAAACTCCTGATACATCCTCCATTCCTCCTCCCATTGACGGCGAACTTCGCCAGGATCACGCCGTCGTTACCCAAGTCCTCGAGCATCAGAATCCGTATGTTTACTTTCCTTCTCTACTCGAAATTCCTAATTCCATTGCTCTTGCTTGCTTGTGCGCTTGAATTCTCTCTACATCTCCCGCGTGTGGCTAAAATCTTACCGAGTTATCGCTTTCTCGTTTACTTAGCTGTTGATAGCTCATATAGTGTACTTCGGTTTCTCGTCTTTACGAAGCTAATTGATTAGCTTTTGAAATTGAGCTTTCCATGTGAGCATTTTTTGGTTTATTGAGCTTCAATTCGACGACTCACCTCCACATTTGTTGAATTTCCGGATGTGTTTTTTGTTCGTCACTTGATATTCCGATTGATTTTGTAAGTTTAAGGATAGTGCAAGAACAGTCGGGCTCATAATTTGTTTTTTCCATATGCTGGTTGGTTGCTACGGTAATGTGTTAAAGGTATCTCCACGTTTCTCTGCTAAAACAAATTGATCTTTCTTTTCCAGTGGAGCTGAGCAGAAAACAGAAATGCCTGAGGAAGATTTAAAGGGCACATTAGAAGCAATAGCATCTACCGGGAAGTTCTGGTAATGCCACTTTCTCTACCTGAGTGATTCTGGATTTTAGTGTTTCATCTCTGTATTGCTAAGTACTTTCTTATCTTATAATATTACAGGCAGGACTGGGAGAAACTAAAAGGAATGCTATCGTGTTGGTTGAAGAAGGTATGTTCAGGTATACCACTAGCGTGCTTACAATGCATATTTTCATTATCCATGCTTCCCGATTATTCCAGTCTCTAACTATCTCTATGATGCGTTGTAAAGATTCTGTCAGAATATCCTGAGGCAAAAATGACGGACGAACAACAAAAGGAAGCCCTCGGAGAAACATACTCAGAGCTGGTTAGTCGATTGGATGAAGGTCTATATCTACTCATTCACTAGTTTTATTTCCTTGCTAGCAAAAAGTAACATATATACGAATCTGAAACTGTGACAAGAGGCTAGTATGTCTAATTGGTTGTCTTTTGTTCTTGTCTTGGCTTATGCAGCTCTTGGTAGTTTCGATGAAGGCCCTCCATTTACACTGCAGAGGCTCTGTGAGGTAAGTAGATGCGTTTACTTGGTCATGGTTTTTACTGGTCGGAGGAGATATGATAATCTATTAGCTGAACTCCATACATTCATTCTGTTGTTCAACAGATCCTTTTGGCGGCAAGGAGCATCTACCCAAAGCTCTCAAAACTCGCTCTTGCTTTAGAAAAGGTACGGATTTTGAAATCATTTACCTTTGTGATTTTATAATTGAAATGCTCATTTTTTCGGTTCCCTGCAGAATCTGTTGGTTACTTCTATGCTATCCATCAGTACTACGGAGCCTCAATCACAAACCACAGAGGATGCAAACGTAGCAACCGAAGACACGAAGACAGCTGCAGCAGATTGGGCACCAAATGGAATTGAAGCAGTGGGAGGCGACAAGGATGAGATAATGACAGAGGTGGAAGAAGCAGATGTTGATGACGCCATGACTATTGACATGGAAACGATCGATGAACCATCAGAGACAGTGACAACGGCGAGTGAGAGTGAGACGCCAAGCGAAACCAGTTGAGTTTCTGAATATGCGCTTTTCACTTACATTCATTTCGCTGGCATGTTTTTGTTATTAATCTTGAACTTGTTAACTTTTCTTCTATAGCTACTACAATACCATCATCGGATTCAGTGGTTGCAGAGGAAGGAGATGCACGATTGCCTTGAAGTGTGTGCCATTAGAGACAGAATTTGAACATGATCGGCTTTGAAAACTGACCTCGAATATAATGTTTTTTCTACGAGAATAGACGTTATTGGATCTTGATCGTTCTCTATATTAGTATCTTAAAAAGTTTTTTTGATTTTGGTGGGGTTTTTCGGTTTATAAAGGTTGATGCTCCAAAGTCCAAACCAAAGACGAAAGAGAATTAAATTACAGATAACATGAAATGTGAATAAAAAATAAGTAATGCAGCTGTGGTAAGTATATTACCCAATCTATATACAGCGTCGTTTAACACCTGTGACCACCACTCTTGTCTTAAAGACTTAAAAGTGTAAAACGATCCAACTCTTTATCAAAATGTAAGTACAAAAGATAAAATGACTTGCCAATGATTTACCCAAAAAAGCCAAATATTATGGAAAAAAAAGGAGAAACTGAATCATGATTTCAAAGGAGTATATTATCTATCAACAGTTAAATTGGACAAAGATGGCCCCAAAGGGCAGGTTTTCAGATGATATAATTTTTCATCAGTAGAATATACAATGAAGCTCACATGGCAACATGATCCACGAAATGACAAAAAAGTATCCTAATCGAGTTTCCTTAACAAAAGTATCACGAGATTCGGATCTGGTGATTACGTTTTAAATCCCAAGAAGAAGACATTGGCCATGGATCAAAAGTATTAACACCTGCAAGGAGAAAAGACATCTACAAGATCAAGGTCATGAGACTCGAGATTTAATGTACTGGTTTGATTAGCTATATTACCTGAAAGAGTTAAAACGAGGGTCCAACGGACGTGAAACCAGCGGCTTTGACATCTTTAAGCGTAGATGATAACCAGTCCAAGCCTTCATAAAGCCCGTCTCCACGTAGAGCACAAGTTCCTTGTATGTGCCATTTCCTGTTCTTGAGATCAAATAAGCCCAACCCTTCACATACTTCTCTCGGTGACATGGCTCCTCTCTAACATCCACCAGTGGTTAAAGGAAGCGAGTCAAGAATTAATAATCACAGATGAGAAACAAGCCAAAAAACAAAGACTAGAGATCGATTTTTACCATGTCTTGTTTGTTTGCAAACACCAGAATGATACTGTTGAGCATGAACGGGTCTTTTATGATCTCCTGTGAAAATCAGAGAAGCAGGTTAAGGAACTATAAAGAGAGAGTTTTAAGTAATGTCTTCTGCAAATTCTAAGATAAAAAACCTGAAATTCTTGCTTTGCTTTCCCAATCCTCTCTCGGTCCAAAGAGTCTACCACGTATATCTGCAAGCGCATGTTAGAGTACACTTTATACCACAGTAAAATCAATAAAGATGGACAAAAGATCTCAAGATCGGCCAATGAACTTATACGTACAAGTCCATCGGTATTATTGAAGTAGTGCCTCCAAAGAGGTCTCAGTTTTTCTTGGCCACCAACATCCCAAACTGTGAACATCACATTCTTGTACTGAACTTTCTCAACATTGAATCCTGCGTTACAACGTTTAAACTCTCAGCAAACATATTCCAAGCAACCAAAGGGAAGATTACCAAAACAAAATGGCCATATACAAATATATTGTCACATGAACCGATATCAGGCCAAGTAACATAACCGCACGAGGCAAGAAAAAGTTCACAGACGTAACTTATGATGGCTTTCAGACGTACACAAGGCTCTTGATAGAATGAATCTAACTGCTTAAAACGAAGATCTATCGAAATCTTGTTTAATCTCCCACTAAATTATTAGCATAACACAGATTCTGAAAAGTTCTTGAGAAACGAGCAAAAAAGCACACAGCTTACCAATGGTGGGAACAGTTGACAAAACTTCTCCTATGTGAAGCTTGTAGAGAATTGTTGTTTTGCCAGCAGCATCAAGCCCCAGCATAACCACCTGACAATGACACCATCGCAAAATTTGATAAAAAAGCAACAAATAGATTCAGATTCAAAAACACTTCTTCAATTATGTTCATCATGCGTCAGCTAACATAACAATCATGATTAGCAAGAAATCAGAATCAACCATCAACTATGTGTTCATGATGAATCACATCAAACAGTAATATTGGGTCCACAAGATTTCAAGCAAAAAAAAGGCAGACAACAAAAGATTGAGTTTAATTCTTTTCCAAAGCCCTTAAATTCAGAGAATCAAGATCATAAAAGCTGTGAATCAAACCAAAACAAATCAACGATAGATAAAACGAGATCCCGTCAAGAGAACCCAGGAAATGATTGAGATTCTCCGTATAAACGCACCAGAGACAAAAAGTAAACAGAGAGAAGATGAGTTTACCCTCATTTCCTGATTGCCGAAGAAAGTATCGAATAGTTTACGAAAAGCCTGACCCATCGCTCCGAATCCCAAAAACCTCTCCGAAATTAGTTTTCTTTTTTCTTATCGAGCTGAAGAGAAAAAAAGAAATCGCAGAGAAAATCAGGCGACGACGATCGATTTGGAGGAGGAAAAGGAGACGAGGTTGAGGAATTGAAGCGAAATAATAGGGCCTTCGGTCCAAATGATTTCGGAAAGAAGTCTTCAACGGAATATTCATATTCCATTCCATTTTGATTTTTCATATTATTTTACTTCCGACATGCCCTCATTTTGTTGACTATAATATTAATATTAGCAATTTAGCATAAATAATGAAATTTTCATAATCTCAACAAGCCAAATGTTTATAATTTGATGATAATCTTTGGCTTTTGTTGAAAAACCTTTTTGTTACCCAAATTTTCCACACACATGTTTGTACTGTTTCACTAAATACAAGGTTTTATTCAAGGAAAATATACTGTAATGTATTAGGCTTTCCACATATTAGGAAATGTTGGGTTTGGGTTTGGAACGTGAACGGGTGAAAAACACAGATGATCATCTACGAGAACGCGATAAGATCCATGCACCACGAATTTTACCTATCAAACCAGACTCAGTCACATTTAATTTATCATGGGATTGGTGGCCATACCAACACAATCTTGCCTAGGGAAAAAATAGAAAGAAACAGTGACATGTCTTCCATTATGGAGCTGGAAGTATTAACGCTAACTTCGTGCCTCACAAAACAATTACTCCTTTGAGAAAAAAAAGAAAAAGTCAAACACTCAAATTAGGAAAAAGAAACATCTTTCTTTTTCAAAACCTTCTAGAAATGAAGATTGGTAGCAACCATTACCAACCACCATCACGATCTTTGTACTTGCTCGGTGGTTCGTCCTCTACCATTCCCTTTTTCTTTATTTATTCACTCACTCAACTCTCCTCTCCGTTGCTTCTCCCTTGCTTCACTATTCGCACCGAAACATGGCCATACCCTCTGACCAACCCAGAGACTCCCACGTGGCAGTTCTCGCTTTCCCCTTCGGCACTCACGCCGCTCCTCTCCTCGCCGTCACTCGCCGTCTCGCCTCCGCCTCTCCCACCACCGTCTTCTCCTTCTTCAACACCGCCCAGTCCAACTCCTCCTTGTTTCCCTCCGACGCCACAGATCTCCCGGCGAACATCCGAGCGCACGACGTCGCCGACGGTGTCCCGGAAGGGCACGTGTTCGTCGGGAAACCGCAGGAGACGATCGAGCTGTTCCTCTTAGCGGCGCCTGAGAATTTCAAGAGGGAAATCGCGGCGGCGGAGAAAGAGATCGGTAGGAATGTGAGCTGCGTGTTAACGGATGCGTTCTACTGGTTCGCGGCGGACATGGCGGCGGAGATGAAGGCGAATTGGGTTGCGTTCTGGACCGCCGGACCAAACTCGCTCTCTGCTCATCTCTACACAGATGCCATCAGAGAAACCATCGGTGTCAAAGGTTAAATAAACACAAAAAAAATAATAGTTCCATTTTGTCTTTTAGCCAATAAATATGCAATTAAAGGCAAATAGCCAAAAGAGGATTAAGAAAATTGTATGTATTTATGGTAATTGATTTGTTTTCTTTATAATTTGCAGAAGTAAATGTTCGTATGGAGGAGACATTAGGGTTTATCTCGGGAATGGAGAAGATGCGAGTCAAAGACACACCAGAAGGAGTTGTGTTTGGGAAATTAGACTCTGTTTTCTCAAACACGTTGCACAAAATGGGTCTTGCGTTACCTCGTGCCTCTGCGGTTTTCATCAACTCCTTTGAAGAGATTGATCCTACTCTCACTAACAACCTCAAATCGGAATTCAAACGTTACCTAAACATCGGTCCTCTCGCGTTATCATCTTCGACATGTCCAACAGAGACGACAGTGCAAGATCCTCACGGCTGCTTGGCTTGGATGGAGAAGCGATCCCCTGCTTCTGTAGCGTACATTAGCTTTGGTTCGGTCATGACGCCGCCTGTTGGAGAGCTTGTGGCGATAGCGGAAGGATTGGAATCGAGCAAAGTGCCGTTTGTTTGGTCGCTTAAGGAGAAGAGCGTTGTTCATCTACCGAAAGGGTTTTTGGATCGGACAAGAGAGCAAGGGATGGTTGTTCCATGGGCTCCACAAGTGGACTTGCTGAAACACGAAGCTACGGGTGTGTTCGTGACGCATTGTGGATGGAACTCTGTGTTGGAGAGTGTTTCGGGAGGTGTGCCGATGATTTGCAGGCCGTTTTTTGGAGATCAGAGGTTGAACGGAAGAGCGGTGGAGGTTGTGTGGGAGATTGGGATGACGATTGTCGATGGAGTCTTCACGAGAGATGGATTTGAGAAGTGTTTGGATCGAGTTTTGGTTCAAGACGATGGGAAAAAGATGAAAGGTAATGCGGAGAAGCTTAAAGAACAAGCTCACGAAGCTGTCTCTTTGAAAGGAAGCTCCTTTGAGAATTTTAAAGGGTTGTTGGAAGCAGTTGTAAACGTTTCAAATTAAATTGAGTTTGAATATAAATAAATAAAAGAACACTTTCTGTTAATGGTAACAAAATTGAGTTAAAAGAATATTGCTAATAATAACAAGCTCAAAGAAGAAACCCAAAAAAGCCGTCTTTTCCAAAGGAAGCTTCTTTATGAAAATGAAAGGATGGTTTGATGTAGTCTTAGAAAAATGTGAATTTACGAGTTATAGACATCCAGATCTTTAACATTGAACGATGGGAAAGGATATGAGTTTTGAAATTGATTTGGGAACAACTGTGTCCATGTATCATCACCAAGCGCCTCCCATTTAGCACTAGCTATGCATAGAGAGACCCCATTCAAGTTAATTAACGTGCAGAAAGATCAAAGTAGCAATAAAAAAAACAAACACTTTGGTTTTAGATAAGCCTAAACCTGATTGATGAAATTATCCTCAACAACAGCAGGAGCACCAAAACAATTCCCAACATCGATAAAAGTAGGCAATCCTCCAGTTGTTAACCCCTGGATTCACAACCAGAGTAATCATTTAAAGTAATATATGTAATCAGTAAACTTAATGTGTACAAAATTTGGGACAATAATAGCTCTAATAAGGAAAAGAATAAGTTTCTTTTTTAAATCCAGTTTTATTCTAACTAATTATTAAAAAAACCCTTTTAGAGTTTGGGCAAGAAAGTTAACCAAAATTGATTGACCCTTTTCCGGACAGACCACATTGATTGAAGTGAGAGAATTTGAACAAATTTGGGAAAAAGGGAAGCCAACGCTCAATGCTCAATGGTTTACGATATGATTGTGTTGAGAGGACGGCTCAAAATAGTAGTATAATACATGATATGATAAATATATGCACAAACGGCTCAATACAATATTTATTTATCATCCACACACACACACAAACGGGGCTCATACATAACGAGCTTAGCATTAGTTTAACATCCAGACAAAAGCAAAAGAAAGAGCAGGTAGTAAGTAATGAAAAGAAAAGGTTGCACTGCGAGCTTCGTCGTCGTCTTCCTCCTCGCTTTTTAGTACCCCTTCCTTTGGCTAGTCGTCCACTCAACAACATGCGGTGGGATAGTGTAGCCCATACCACCAGAACCAGAAGTAGAGATTTTATTACAGGGTATGGGTAGAGCAAGCAGATCCCATCCAGCACTGTCCACCGCTCTAGCTTGTGCCTGTGGCCGCCTTCGGAACAGTGTACATCTAGATCCTGGTCCATGAAGATCCAACGCCCTAGCTAGTGCTTCTTCTCCGGAAAAATACACATAACCTATGCTGCGGTACCTGGGAATATAAACATGTAGAATCTCTCCACATGAAGCGAACTCTCGTCTCAAAGCAGCCTTGAGATCATCCACAGAAAGCGAAGTGTCAAATCCCGTAACGGAGATGCCAAAGCGACGGTTCTTGTCATTAAGCACGGCCAAGAAAGCTTCAACTTCTTCACGAGTTTCCTCTTTCTTTCCAGCCTTAACCACAGAGACATTCCATCCTCCCGCGTCACTTCCATCAAGCGCCAACGCCTTCTCTTCGGCGTCTTCTCCGATAATCACCATAAAAGCACATGAGCTGTCTCTGGGAAACCCAACGTAATCGATTTCTCCACATGAGTTGAAATTACCAATCAACGCCTTCGCTGATTCCACGAAACCTCAGGTTAGGATTTGCGTGAAAGGATTTCATAGCAGCATCATAGTCCCGCGGACTGATGAGGGGTAGCGCGCGGCTAACAGTGGCCATGGACAAGTTGAGAATCAATCCTACGCTGTCGCTTTTCGATTTTGTTTTCTAGGTTTTTAGGGATTTCAGAACAATTATGAACTTTCCTTTGCTACTCTGGGGACGAAGCTATTTATAATGAAAATATATTAAACGGAGGCCCACAATAATTAGGCCCATACACCTTGTGACGGTGGTACCATCACCAATCTCTCTCGCTTTCTGATTCTTTTGGTTACTATAACTTTCTTGCCCAAACTCTAAAAAGGATTTTTTAATAATTATTATTAGAATAAGACTGAATTTAAAAAGAAACTTATTGTTCTTTTCCTTATTAGAGTTATACTAGAAATTTGACCAAAACTATATAAAGTTTTAAAAGTTCTTGATTGTTCTGAAATCCCTAAACCCTAGAAAACAAAATCGAAAAGCGACAGAATTTGTGCTTGTCTTGTGTTTCTTATTTGATGCGCTTTTATGGTTATTCGCGGAATAGGCGTAGAAGAGAAGGCGTTGGCACTTAATGGAAGTGACTTGGGAGGATGGAATGTCCCTGTGGTCAAGAAACAGGAAACTCTTGAAGAAGAGGAAGCTTTCAAGGCCGTATACTATGACAAGAACCGGTAAATTGATACTTTATATTGCTTCTTGTGTTTATGGGAGATTTGTGATCTTTGTGTTGGTAATCAATACATGCAAAATGGTTGCAGTCGCTTTGGCATTTCCGTTTGGCTATTTGAGACTTCTCTTCCTGAGGATGATCGCAAGACCGCTTTGAGACAAGAATTCGCTTCATGCGGAGAGATTCTACATGTTTATGTTCCCAGAGGCGACAGGTTTTTGTGGCTTCTTCTTGCTCCATTTTTGTGACAACCAATTGTGAATTTTTAATTTTTAACCAGCTCTTTCTCTTTTTGGGGTTCTGCTGCAGCGTAGCTTAATGTGTATTTTTCCGAAGAAGAGGCAATAGCTAAGGCGTTGGAACTTTGTAGACCGAAATTTTGGGAGGACGAACGAGCACAAGCTAGAGCGGCGGGACGTGGTGACTGGAATCGACTTGCTATGCCCTTAACGAATTATGCAACTATGCAAGCCTTCAACACTTTGGTGGTTCTCCCTGTATTATTGGCTATACGTAAATTTGTTTTTGGTTTTTGGTTCTTGATTTGATTTTGCAAAATACAACCTCTCACAAGTTTGTGGTCTGTTGTAGCGCATGTTCTTGAGTGGATCAGTAAGAAGAGGACCGTGGATCACAGTGCAACCTTTTTTTTTTCATTATATGTGATCTCTTTTACTTCTTCTTTTTCTTGTTTAATTACTTTTCTAATTCAATGACAAGTGATTTGTAATAAAAAGGCATGCAATGCTCCTAGAGCTAAGTGAGCAAGCTGTATACTGCTCCAATGAAGGCACCATTAGATTTTGACCAGCACTTCATCTTCCTCTTATTTCAAATTCTGCATAACTACCAAACAGTTAACCGGAATTTGAAGTATCTACAGTCCTAAAAAATATAGATGAGAAAAAATATGAAAGATTTCCTAAAAATATTTGGAAAAAAGGTGTGGAAGGGAACCGACTTTCTTCCACTTAGCAACTTAAACCTAAACCTTAAAATATTTGCAAGCCCTAAACCTAATATCCCAAAATAGCAACTTTCTAACACTTTCTTTTTTCGTTTTCTTTCTTGAGAGGTCTTGTCCAATGGCGAAATTCAGAGAACTTCCAGGGGAATTGGTAGAGGAGATACTCTGTCGTGTTCCAGCCAAATCTCTGAAACGATTAAGATGTAGTTGCAAGCAATGGAACCGTTTGGTCAAGGATGCGGCGTTCGCAAGAAAACACTCTGATAAATCCGCAAAGCAGGTTACGTGTCTCATGCTGATGAATCATCTGAGGATTAGTGAGATGAGCATGAATCTGGATGGAAAACCTCCATCCGTAGAGGTTAAAGCTGAGCTTAGCCTGCTCGATCCGCGTTCTAGTAAATCATCCCTTCAAGTTCAATTCGATGTAGCTGAAGTGCGTCACTGCGACGGCTTGTTGCTATGCACCTCCCAAGATTTTAAAAGAATCGTGGTTTGGAACCCGTTTACTGGCTACACCAGGTGGATCGAACCTGGGGGCGAGAGAGGCGGCGAGTTTTCTCTGGGATACTATCAAGACAAGAGATCCAACACTAGGAGATACAAGGTATTGGATAGTGATATTTATGATCTATTAAAATCAAAAATATACGATTTTGACACTGGTTCATGGAGGATTGTTGACGGTGGTGATAGCGTTACACGCCCGGCTTGTAGTTGTAATGAACAGATTGTGTCTTTCAAGGGAAACACTTACTGGTTCGCTTCAGATGAAGAGAAACCGGAGCTTGGCGTATCCTTGCTCAGGTTTGATTTTGAAACTGAGAAGTTTGGATACTTGCCTCTTCCCTATCAGTCTCGTTACTTAACTGCGTGTTTCTCAGTTGTTGGAGAGGAGAAACTTTGTGTGTTATTGCAACAAGAGATTTGGTCAAAGACTGAGATATGGGTGACGGATAAGATTGGTGAGAGCAACAAAGGTGTGTCGTGGAGCAGGGTCTTAGCATTTCATTTGAGCCTTGATCTTCACGTTTTGAGTTCTGCGAGTTTCTTGCTCGACGAGGAGAAGAAAGTTGTCGTGTGGTGTGACGGATGTGTAGACGAGAATGGCGACAGACACACCAAAGACATGATATACATTGTTGGGGAGGATAATAATGTCACACAAGTGGAATTTGGAGTGGATGAGATCAATGGATGCTGGCCATCTATTCTTACTTATTTCCCAAGTTTGGCTCAAATCGAGCCAGCTCGAGGCAAGAAAAGAAAAAGATCCGAAAGCTAATCTCTAAATTAACTTGGGCCATGTTTTTCTTACTTTATCTTGGTCAAGTGTTGTGTGAATGATCCTTTGAACTGAGTGTGATATCTCTCATTAACATGTGGTTTTATCACATGTTTTAACTGTCCACTACTGCTAAATGCTATGCTAAGTGTGCAAAAATCTAACTTTCAATTTAAGTGTGCAAAAATTTACAAGTAGATAAATTAAACGTAATGAACAGACATACATGATGTTGCTAGCAACAAGAGCTTTAAGATCATGTTTTGTCTTGTGCAGTTATATTTTTGTTTTTCTCATCACAAATCCGGAGGACTGTGATGTAATTAACTGTAAAGAGATCAACCAACTACCAAGGAATAGGTTTGTGTGTGAACTAAGCACAATCTTATACTTTCTCATTTCACCTCGACCTAAAGTGGTAGGTTGAATATCTTCTCTTATCAAATCACCTATGTGAAAAGGATTTTGGAATTTGGATAAATAAAAAGAGCACTTTATATTTATGGACGACTAGACCTGATACTTGCAGAAGACGGAACTCCTCTATCTTAAGTTCACCCGTTTATTTTCCATTGATATATCCAGACACAACCGACCGACACTCAGTCAGACCAGAGTTTTTAAGACATTTATGTGGGCCCATAATATCATACGATCAAAGGTGTATGGGCCGGCCTAATTAAATTTCCTTTTTGAGTTGTCATTATAAAAAGCTTCGTCCTCTTTTACCCCCAAAATTTGAAAAAGGTGATCCATTCTTCTGAAATCCCTAAATTCCTAAATTAGGCTTCTCAACTTCTCTCCATGGACACTTCCGTTAGCCGCGGGATGCCCGTCATCAGTGTAATCTTCTTTCTCCTTATGGTTAAGATTGATTTCTTCCTGCGCATAAACCTGAGATTTTCTTCATCAGTTATGTGTTCTCGTTTTCATTGATTTTTTTCTGGATCGACTTCCTTGTTGGCTCGCTCGGCTCTGTTTCTCAGTTAATTGTTTGGTCTCAAATTTTACCGTATCTGATATTACATCTTTTGTGCTTTAGGGGTTTACCTATAATGCTGAATTGAAACGCATTTTTGCCAGCATAAAACCCCAGTAAGTTGATGCTTTTTTGTGGAGATTCGTATACGGTGTAATTTATGTTGTTGTTGTTGCTAATAACATTGATATTTTGAAACTTAGGGTTAGGTTTTGCGTTAAAGGATACGACACTTCGCTTCCTGATGATGATATAAAGAAGGCGTTGATTAGTCATTTCAACTCATGTGGAGAAATCTATACTCTCGTGATTTCCAGAGACCTTGTAACCGTAACCGATGATGTCGACAAGTTTGTGGCTTATTTGTTTGTAAATTGTAAATTAGCTCAAGTTAAATAATGGTAGCAGCTAATTTAGAACTTGTGTCTGTTATTTAATTGAACAGATCATGCGCTTTTATGGTGCTTCGCGGAGAAGGCGCAGAAGAGAAGGCGTTGGCGCTTAATGGAAGTGACTTGGGAGGATGGAATGTCTCTGTTGTCAAGGTTGAAGAGAAACAGAAAACTCTTGAAGAAGTGGAAGCTTTTCATGCCGTATACTACGACAAGAACCGGTAACTTGATACTTTAGTTTTACTTTTGTGTTTTATGGGAGAGTTGTGATCTTTGTGTTGGTAATCAATACAAAAATGGCTGCAGTCGCTTTGGCATTTCCGTTACGGGATTTGACACTTCTCTTCCTGAGGATGATCTCAAGACCGCTTTGAGACAAGAATTCGCTTCATGTGGAGAGATTCTACATGTTTATATCCCCACAGGCGACGGGTTTGTGTGGCTTCTTCGTCCTCCTGTTTTGTGACCACCAATTTTTGAATCTTTTACCAAGCTCTTTCTCTTTTTGGTTTCTGCAGCGTAGCTTATGTGTATTTTTCCGAAGAAGAGGCAATAGCTAGGGCGTTGGAACTTTATGGACATGGATCTAGACGTAAATTGTTTGGAGGATTTCAGGCACAAGCTAGAGCGGTGGAACGTGCTGGATGGAAACTAGTTGCTATGCCCTTAACGAATTATGCAATCCCTCCAAGCGTTGGTTCTCACTGTTTTGGCTACACTATCCCACGTACGTAAATTTGTTTTCGGTTTTTGGTTTTTGATTCTTGATTTGATTTTCAAAACACAACCTCTCACAAGTTTGTAGTCTCTTGTAGCGCATGTTCTTGAGTGGACTAGTAAGAAGAGGACCGTTGACTAGAAAGCTCTCACTCTCTTTATGAGGAGGAGGAGGACGTCGAAGCTCTTTGGATGGTGATCAAATTTACGAATTCGATTGATTAGGTTACTCAAGTGGAAACATGTTTCTGATTACGAACATCAACTCTTTAACATCTCTGTTTTACAAGTACTTTTTTTTTCATTACAAACCCTTGAGCATCTCTCTGTTCTGTATTAGCAAGATATTACTAAACAAAAGCCTAGCAGCCACATTTTTAATTAACATAGGTGGTTAGAAAGTGCCATCAACCTCTGTAGATATTCATCTCTCTTCTGAGGATCTGATTCTGCTTGGATCATATTACCAACCTGGAAGATAGAGAAACCATGAAATCCCAAAGTCACATAACAGAAATAGCTCTGACTGACAAACGAGAAACGCATTTGGAAAACTTACAGATTCAAAAAATGAGCGGATTTGATGAGGCTCAAGATCTCGAACAGTTGTTAGACGGCCTGACAGAAGTTCAGATACAAATGGCTCATTCTCCCCATCCTGAAACTGCAATGAACTATGACTATGATCTCACTCATTCGGAAGACAATGGAAGAATAATGAAACTGAACACAACATAGTGATAAGAACCTGAACAAGAACAAATTCACGCAAAAATGTGTCACAGGCCATGTCCTGAAAGGGAAACATAAGTATTAAGTGAATAAGACGACATTTTTTAATGCGAGATTCTAACTGGAAAAACTGTATCTCAGAATTTTTTGACAGTTTGGGAGGCTACCTGAACAACAGGATGTGTATCATGCATAAATTCGAACAGCTTCTCCACAACTGTTTTCAAAATCTTCCAGTGAGCACTTAAGAACCTTGGGTACTGGCCAACGACATACCTGCGAGAAAGCCAAAGAAGAACAGTGAGGTCATATTTAATTTTAAAAAAGATAAATAAACCTCTAAGATCTTTCAGTTAAGTATATGCATAAACCTACAAGTACATAGAAATCATCTGCAGTATATGAATGAACAAACTTACATGATGTTGCCAGCAACAACAGCTTTATTGTTTTTGCCCTTGGTAATTTCATATAATTTCAACAAATCAAGAATGACAATCTCCAAAAAATTGTTTTCCTGAAAAAAAAGGAAACATGGAGTGCCCAGGTAACTGATAGAAAACAATTAACACTAAAGTTGACACTGACAAGTATTTCTGAATAAGTTTTCTTCAAAGGCTAGGCTAAGCTCTAGAGAAAAATTTACCTGATCTTCTGTCATGGATCCAGAAATACACCCAATAGCCCAGCACAAAGAATTCAAAACGCTCAATACTCATCGCTCCCCAGTTAAATGCTGGTTTAGCTTCCTTAACATCTTTTAAACGGACAATCACAAGTCACATCAGCATAACAGCATGAAACAGACTAAATACAGTGTATTAACCGCTTACTGTTAATCCTTGATGTATCATCACGGTCACACTGTACCTGTTCTACGGTGTCAGCACAATCAAGGTTTAAGAGGTCGATTAACGTCACCTTCATTATCTGCAATTGTTGAAACAAGAAACAGGTAATAAAAACATCTCCCTGCATTCACTTCTGGTATCTAACGAAGCTGAAAAAGTTCAATATGAACTGGACAAGAATTGGTACATTATACTGGACAATAACATCAATGTCCTTCTTAGTTTCACGGACTAGGTCCCCATTCTCATCTTCAACAATAAGCACTTCTTCAGGCTTCGCCATGCGGTTAATCATTAACCCTCTTAACTCTGACATAAATATAGAGTAGATGATACGCCAATTATCATTACTTTCAATCAACTGCAAGTCAAATCTTAAGGTTATTAACCAAACCAAAGCAAGAGAATTTTAAGTCATACAAATATGCAACCATAAAAATCCCACCTGCAAGATTTCATGGTTAAGATCACGACATCGTTGTGCATAAGAGAGGTTAGAAACCAACGAGTTCCAGTAGTCCAAACAAATTTGTTCAGTCCACGAGCAAGTAGAAACTGTTATTATACATATACAGAGCAACAATATTGGCAATGGCAATTAACATACCTTGAAGACTTCAGAGTCATCAACATATGATATGCACATGAGATGTTGTAGACCGATAAGTACCAATTTTGGAGCTGATTTTAAGATTAGCATATGAAACTGCATATGAAAAGCAAAGGTAATGAAATATAAGATGAGTACTCGAAAATAGATATATATCTCAACAAAGGGGAAAAACAAAATTTACCTTGAAAAACGAAGTGAAAAACAGTGCCAAATTCTTGATAAATGCCTAAAAGTGACATAAGACACACTGTCCTTGATAAGTTATTCAAATCTATGGGAAGCCTCCGATCAAATCAAGTGAACAGAATAGACTTACTTGGTCTTCACCACTTATGCTTGAATATGTTTCAGCGAGCTCTATGCTCTGTGGGACATTGAACTGCAAACATGAGAACAAACAAGTGTAAAGAATCAGACAAGAAACCAAGACAAGCACGAAGTAAAGGAAACTTACTACATTAACAAGAAACTAGATATGAAACTAGAAGAACCAGAATGTCAATGAACAAAAAAGGCAATAAAACAATTCGAAGCAACGCAAAAAGACAGCTAATATACCTTCAACAGCCCTGTAAACATGGCGTACATGTTGTAATACTGGGCATTGTACACGTCCCCGATATCAAGAGCAAAAACCTGAAAATTTTAAGCCAATAGAGAATTATATAATACATTCAGTTGACAATAGAGAATGGTGAACTAAATTCGAAACTGAAGTACCTTGGTCAGACATTGAAGAGCGATGTTCCTAGATGCTGGCACCCCAAAATATTTAAGGAGGTACTCAACCTGTAAACAAAAAGAACAGATATCAGAAGAACATAATTGTGGTACCAATTGATGTCAATCTCTGTCTTATTTTTAAGTATATTACCAAAGGAGGCTTAAAAACATAGGCCGATGGAATCCAGGAAAGATAGGGATGCAAAGCAGACAGTGTTGAATGTATAAGATCCTGTCTTCGAGGTGCTGAGAAGGCATGTAAGCATAACTCGCGAATGAGTTTAAACTCACTGCACATGTAAAAAAGGCACAAACAGGTAGTTAAATGATAGCTAGACGTAACTTAACCAACATAGACAAGATAGTTAATATAGTATGAAAATGTAATATGATACAATTCTCGAAAAGTCTGACATGCCTGCTTAGAGATTGTTTCAGCTCTTCAATCTTCTGCGGAGTCATCTCTCCTCTTGAGAAATCAAAAACCTCTTCGCTTAGGAGCTAACAAAGGAAGAAATGTTACTATTTCCACTATCCAGTGAGTACTGATTAATAAAATCATGTAAAGATTCGTACTCTCAAAATGGCCATGAAATTTTCGCAACTAGTTTCGCTAGTCTTAGCAGCCGAAACCAGATCAGGAAAGAAGCTTGTCCACTTTTCCGGCCAATCATGTTTCGCCATCTGTGCATAAGATCACAATATACATTGCACTGCCAAACAAGATAAAAGAAACTACAGCTAAGCAAATGCAATGTATATTATTAGGCAGTGCTGCAAATACCTGAACCAAGATAACATTTAACTTGTTGACATAGAGCCTTTCTAATATGAAAGACGCTTCATTGCTGGAGAGCTGCAAGGTACAGAGCAGTTAGGATAGCTTCCCAGTTTTATCCAGAGAACAACTTAAAGATTTCCAAGAGTATATACCTGTACAATGACCTCCAGGATGTAACTTTTCATTCCATCTCGTTGTTCAACAGGCAGTGCATTCCATGTGTTCTTTATAACACCTTCTAGAACCTGAGAGTGGATCGCAAAAGAGTATTTGTTTGTCAAGTACCTCAATCATACACTGCCAGGATGTATCAACAATGAACAAGCACAACTGATGTTAAAACTACTAGAAAGGCAACATAAGAGTACTGCTGAAACTAACCTGAAGGGCAAATAACTTGGTATCTATGCTCTTTGTGTTTTGTAGAATGTGAACAACTTGGAGCCACATATCTGGATTAGCTTGCAAATCCCGCAAAATATGGTCCGCAGCAGCACTCTGAACATGTTTCTGGGAGCAATGTAGGTTAATTAAAGGCGAAAACTCAGATGGAAATGAGGTGAATGTTAACACTGAAGCTGAGCTATGAGATTCAGTAATCAGAACCTTAAACAATCATAACAAATTTTCACTTTTCAATTGTTGCAATTACATCGATTAATCAAGATATTTCACTACCAGAGTGAGGAAAAAAAAAATAGAGAAATGAAAGCACCTCTTCCTTGGATTCGGTAACGAAGAAGTCTGCAACGATGGCATCGAGCACACTGACGTCAATCGGCTGGCTCAAGTCTCTTAGCTTCTCCGCCATGGCGTAGAGATGTGGAAAGTTGCGGTGGTATTTCCGATAGACTAAGAACAGTGAACCCTAGGAGAGAAGGAGAGATGATTACCCAGAGCGGGAAAAAGGACACAGACCATGAATAGAGAGGAGAGAGAGAGAGAGAGTTTGCAGGGAAGAGTACGTACGGATTCCTCTCGGTCCGGTTTTATCACATTTCTCTTGGTATATTTTCTTTATTTTTCTCGGTTTAGTTATTTGAATTTGGTTACAAATTCAAAGTTAACATGGTTGTAAAAGTTGTATTGCTAACTACACAACGAATCGTATAAAAACTCGGTTTGACTGGTGGCATATTAATGATGATGGCAATAAATGTACTATCTTCTCTGAAACCAACCACTAGATTAAAAAACAGTGGTCGAGATCAAAAGCAGAGGACTCATTATCTAAAGATTTAATCCGAAATGAATTATCCGTGATGACCCGAAAGAAGGTTTTCAGATGATACAATTTTTCATCGTCTGACATTTTGATTACAAGATGAAAGGCAATGCCAAGAAGAAGCACAGCTCCACTGAGAGCTACCGAAGATAGTTTGGAAACTTGGATACAGATAAGGGTAAATAAAAGTACTCTTTTCTATTAATGGTGAACAATAAGAGTCAGACAATATCTCCAACCTAAAACACGAATCACCGAGTAGTAAGATGAACAAAAACACCCCGAAGAAGGTCTAATATTTAAAGCAACGCAAAAATCAGCCAACCATGTAACTAGAGACGAGCCCTAAGGTTTTTAAATCTACATTAAACTCATTTAGTTAACCAAACAAAACACTGATTCACCCCCCTAAAGATTTTGTTTTCTTAGATTTTCCAACTCTCAAAATCGAATACGGAAACGCTTCGAATAAAATGCAGTCGGGGAAATCAATGCATCTCCTCAACTCCTTTCCTGTTTTCCCAAAAGCCTACGAAGTCGGGGAAGCTGCTTCTTGTGATGATTTTATGAGTCCAACATCTCGTCTTGAATCTCGTTAGGAGCGATAAGCCCAGGAATCGAAAGCATTCTTTGACGCTCTTGCTCTCTCTGCGCAGCTGCTTCCTCAGCATAGAGATCTTTGTTATCCTGCACATTTGTAAAAACATTCAACAAATTAGCTTTGGCTCTTAGTTTTGACATCTTAAATGAATGGCTTCGATGAAGAAAAGTTTATTTACCTGAGCCGAAAACTCCTTGGACTGTACAAGGAAGTCACGAATTTTATCCTTGAACCCAGACGGGTCATTTCTAGACTCGTAAAGTCCATTCACAAACTGTGTGACCTGTATATTTATTGATCATCAATATCAGGTTTGAGAAACGAGGAATCAAACATGAAACTGTGAAAGCAAAATGGTTTTAGTTTTTACGTACCTCTGCTGCAGTCATGTTGGGGAATGAAGAGCTCAATAGCTTAATGGTGTATTCACGAACAAAGGCAGCATTGCTCGGATACGGGTAAGGTACGGTTGTAGCATCCCACAAAGGTTCCGTCAAAGAAGGGCTCTCAACCTGCAATTAAGTAAATCAGTAAACATCTTAACCACATAGAAACTACCCCATCAAGATGAGTTGAGAGACGGTGGAGATGGTTTTACCAGGCAAAACAGTTGCTGCAGCACCAACACATGCAGCTTGAAGCCGGGCTTATGGAAGGTATCAGTCAAAACAGCAAATATTTCTTGCTCGATTTGTATAAAGTATGACCGGAAGAATTGGTTGCAAAACTCAGATTGCTGCCACAATCAGAGCTAAATGTTAGACCACTAAATAATATATATATCTCAAAACCAATGAGCTAACAGGAGGAAAACAAACATCAAACCTGGAAGTTCTTCAGCATCGCAAGCAAAAGATTAAGCCCAGTTTCAGCTATATTTCTCTCGGTATGTCTAAATGCCCAAATAATTGAATCCATCACTAGCTTCAGTTGCTGATGCAAAATGATGAGTAAGGAAGATCAGCAAATAATGAAAAAAGACTTAGATGTAAGGCCATTAGCTCCTTAGATCACGCAAAGGGAAAAAAATATGCGATAACATATTCACCAACCTGACTTGATAACTTTATCAAAGCAGGGAAACAAAATGTAGCAATCGCACGGAGTAATGAGAAAAACTTGAGTCGGTGTTCCGGATAATCCTCAAAGTTCTTAGTTATCATCTGCAGAAAGATGATAAAGTGTCAGTAAAGAATCATGAAACATAAAATCATTCAAAAAGTCCCTTCAAACAGGAATAAAGGAGCGAAGTAAAGAATCATGCAACATAAAATCATTCAAAAAGTCCCTTCTCCCACTTCCAATTAACTCTTCAATCTGAACTACTTCACGTTCTTCACCACAGTGAAAGTGTCAAGTCTTTTCATTTATGGTAACAGTAGTAGTGTGAATGTGAAGAGACAACAAAGAACATGGTCAGGTTACCTCTAATGTACACTGGAAAACAGCTTCAAATATGTGAGGCACGTCATCCAACATTGTTGCTTTGTACCTGAAAGAACAAATCCAAATCATTCCAGTTTTAAGGAAAGTAAAGTCCCAAATCAATTCATGACGCAATTTTGGGATCTATGCAGATCATATGATAATTAGGAAGAAAACAATCTAGAATGATGCAGATGGTACACAGCCATAAATACTACGGAAAGCATCAACCAATAAGAGGCATACTTGTTTATAATCGTTGCAAAAAGCGACAGAACTTCTGATTCCCTAGCATCAGGCACATTCCTCGCGTAGTCGCCAAGTACCGATTCCATCATTGGAGGCACAAACTGTTTCCCTATGTGCGGTTGGTCTTCAGCTTTGTCTAAAAAGGTTTCTATCAGCTTAAGGGTTTCCCTCTTAACAGACCTGTACAGCAAAGCATAGCATTATAAAAATTATTCAAGTTTTTTTTTCAAATATAGATATCGAGAACCGTGGGTCTTTGGCGCTTAAAGCCATCCAAACCTTAATAATTTTACGAAAGATGTCTTGGAAGCATACGGCCCCCCATCAGTAATGCTGGCTGACACAAGCTCGCTGTACATTCTGGTGAAGCCATGGAGAAAATACAATGAGTCCACCAATAAAATAACAAAGGAAAGAGTATTATCACTAAAAGGGCTACAATATTAAGAAATTACCTGTATACGTTCAACATATCCAAGAATATCAAGGAAATTTGGGATAAGAAGTATGTTCCCAGTGAAGTAGCAGCACTAGTGTTAGTCTGCATGGAAAAGATATGTTAATAGTTACATTTAGCAACAAAATCATTTATCTAAACATCAGCAGATGCACAAACTCAACTATTAAAATGACTTGATTTAACTCGATACTATGCATTATGAGGAATAGGCAAGACTCAGACCTGTAGAATATTAAGCACTGTACGTATCACATTTGGATCCTTGAGGAATTCTACACTTTGGCGTGCTTGCCCTATGATTTCTGCCCATTTCTACATTACAAAACGGAACGGTTATAGCCAGCTATGTAGACAAAAGGTTAGCAGCCACATTTTTAATCAACATACCTGGTTAGGGAGTGTCATCAACCTCTGTAGATATTCATCTCTCTTCTGGGGATCTGATTCTGCTTGGATCATATTACCAACCTGGAGATAGAGGAACCATGAAATCACAGGTCACATCAGAGAAATAGCTCTGATTAAACCAGAAACGCATCTAGAAAACTTACAGATTCATAAAATGAGTGAATTTGATGAGGCTCAAGATCTTGAACTGTTGTTGCAAGGCCTGTCAGAAGTTCAGATACAAATGGCTCACTCTCCCCAACCTGAAAGCGCAATGAATTATAACTCTGATCTCATTCAGAAGATTAAAACGGTGAACTAAACATAGTGATACGAACCTGAACAATGACAAATTTACGCTTGCACTTCTGAACTATTTTCAAGAATGTATCACAGGCCATGTCCTGAAAGGGAAACATAAGTATTAAGGATCTTCAATTAGAAATATGCAAATCCTATGCAAGAATATCAATATAATATCCAAGAAATTATACCGATCGTATTTAGAAAAGTATAAAGTTTGGCAGGTTACCTGAACCCCAGGATGTGTCTCATGCATAAATTCAAACAGCTTATTCACAACTGTTTTCAGAAACTTCCAATGGGCCCTTAAGAACCTTGGGTACTGGCCAACGACATACCTGCAACAAAGCCAAAGCAGAACAAAGAGGCCAGATTAACAAACAAATAATAAATAAACATCCCAGATCTTTCAGTTGAGTACTATACATAGAACATAACAGAGTACAACAACAAAGGCCGAAATTCAGCTGCACTATACAAAATTCAGAAAATGAAGGAACAGACTTACATGATGTTGCTTGCAATAACAGCTTTATTGTCTTTTCCTTTGGTAATTTCACACAAATTTAACAAATCACGGATGACCATCACCAAAAATCTGTTTTCCTGAAAAAAGGAAACATCGATCTCATTACATTTGTCAGCGCAGAATTATCAAGGTTGGAAAAAACGGAATCAGGCTGAACTCTATCGACAATTTTACCTGATCTTCTGCCATAGATCCAGAAATAGACCCAATAGCCCAGCACAAAGTGTTCAAATTGTTCCATGCCCATTCCTCCCCGCTTAATTGCTTATTTAGCTTCCTCAACATCTTTTAAAAGGACAATCAGAAGTTTACATACATCAGCACAACAGCATGAAACAGACTAAAGACATCTTACATATGTACCAACAAAACTCATGTCGAAACTGCTAAAAACTCGTTTCATAGAAACCATAATCGATCATAACCCTTTAACTGTTAATCCTCAATATATTTCACAAATAAATATGCATAGACTTGTATCATCATGGTCACACAGTACCTGCTTCTCCGTATCATCATGGTCAAGGTGTGAGAGGTAGATTAATGTCTCCCGCATTATCTGCAATTATTGAGACAAGAAATGGGCGATAAAACATTAAAAAGGATAGCGAAAGAGAAGGATTCAAATAGAA